TGTTTTTATAGTCTGAACTCTGAAGACGATCCCAAGATAGTACAGTATTAAGCAACTAACCGTTTGAACTAGCAATTGGAGAATAACTTCATCTGATTGCGTTATCTATTATATTATAAGATGTAGGAAAGGAAACAGATGAATACTTGATCTTAAAACAAACTGGGACAAAACCATGTAATATAATATAATAGCTAAACCAAGAGAGTAGAATTCTGATAACAAGAGAAACTAAAACTAATTTCCAGTAATGTACAAAAGCAAGTATCTTTGTCTTCCAGGCGAGAGAGAACCTACTAATTACACAAAAAGGAGCCTCAAAAGCCAAACAAAATTCAAGGCTCTAGCTTCTCGGCCCACCAAAAAGCTAACCAAAAACTGTATACAACTAACAAGCCTATACCAGCACCAACCAACAAAAATCTACACGAAAAATTACAGCCCCATAAAAACTAAGAGCAAAGAGAGAGCCAAGGACAGCAGCGCTTTTTAAGCCAACCACACAGACCAACCAGCGGGGCAAAAGCAAAACTGCAGTCGCAAAAGCTGCTGAATTTTCTGGGGCATTTTCCAAAGAATTCGACGGGAATAATAAATCCAAATAAAGTTCATTCCCTTCCCACCTAAGATCCAGTAGAAGCCAAAAAAGCAAATAGACCAAATCACTCCAGCAACCCATTTAGCTATATCTTCACGCCCTCTAAAGAAGCCATTATCCATCACAATCCCCTCAAGCCATTCGTGCAACCAGACAACCAATCAAGCCCAGAGTCCTCACGACCAACCACAGTAACAAATACAAATATAACTCTCAGTCTCTCACAAACATTTCATCAAACATGTTTCAAACAAATCCATCAATCCACCAGCCCCTCCTACTACTAGTCTACTACTACTCACAAGTCACAACACAAGTCACACCAACACAAACACAAGCAATCAACCAATAACATTCAAAGAGAAGAGAACAAGTGTTAAGTGTGTACCTTGAAGTCCCAAACTTGAAGTTGAAGCCTGGAAGAAGAGAACAAGAGATGAAGAAAAGCTGAAAACGTGAAGAACTGCGGAAGGAAAGCTGAAGAAGAACTGAGGAAGAAGAGGTGCTGCAAAACTGAAGAAGAACGAGATTTGTTTTAATTTTTAGTAAAAACCCACTAAAACGACGTCGTTTTGGGGGTGTGAGATTTTTTTTTTTTTTTTCAATAATTCGCGAATTATACCGAAAGCCTTATTATATGTGAATTATGCGACAGATTTTATAAAATATGTATACGTATATTTTATACGCGAATTATACGACTGTTTGTACAATTCGCGTATAATACGCGTTTTTACTAGTAGGCCTCTAAGTAGGATTGCTTTGGTTGTGCCTCTTTAGGTGATCAACTCCTCCTAAAACTAAAAGAAGGCAAAACCAGACTAAGCATCGTATGCCTGTTAATTATGTTTACAAGGGTAATTACTTTTTGATGTCTTTGTTTGTTTCAATTAATGTGAGTTCTACAACATTGTAATCTTTTACTCTCAAGAAATTAGACTAGCTTCAGTGGCAATCTTGTGTTGTTCAAGGAATAAAGCACTGTTTATGTAATCTTTTATTCACTGCACTTAATCTAAATATCAACTTTCTTTCCACTTTGTCTTGTGCCAGAAAGTAGACATGCATATATTTCCCTGCTGCTGGAAAAAATTGTAACATCAGAATCATTTAGAAAATACAGTGTACCCCGTATTTTTTTTTTATAGAATTTTATTTTGTGATTTTGGGGGGTAAAGTGTTATATTTTGAAAGTTTTAAGAGAGTAAAGCCAATAACCAAAATAATTGAGGACAAAAAAAATTTGCCACATATTTTGATGAACAGTGATCAATCAAAGAGAAGAAAAAGGGAGAAGAAGGGAACAGCGGGGAGAAGAAGAAAGGGAGCAGAAAAAGAAGAGAAGAGAGAAAAGATAGGGAAGAGAGAAAGAAAAGAGAGACAATGGAGAAAAGAAAAGAGAGAAAGAAGAAAGAAAGGAAGAAGGGAGTGAACGTAGAGAGAGAGGAGTAGAGAACGATGAAGGTGGCTGGAACGCCGGCGAACAAAAGTACTCCGGTGATCGGAAAGAGTGGAGGAAGATCAAGCATATGGGAGGTGAGTAAAGTTTAAAATTTCCCTCTTTGATGAGTTTTAGTTCAGTTGAATTGTGTTGTTTACAATTGAGTACAATGGCATGAGGGTGAATTAAAATAGGGAGATTGATTTCAATAATTTTATATGGGTAGAACATACATGTTGTTCCTAAACAAAAATGGTTAAAGATATGATTTTTTTATGTAAGAGTTTATTGTGCAAAATCTGTCCATCTGGGATTCCGAAAATTGTTTACATGTTTTGGGTTTTTAATTGAAGCTGAATTTTGGATATCTTGTTGTAGGCTTCTTAAGGAGTGTTTAGAAATTTATTTCACTCAAAAACTCGGAGGATTGAATTTTATATGGATTTTTGACGTTGCCTTGTCAATTCTGAAATTTTCGTTTTCTGTAGAGCATGTATTTTTGGAAAATGATTTGATGATCTATTCTTATCCAAATTGAGTGATTTTAAATTCTGGTGAATCCTATATGTGTCTAGTTTAATTATGGAGAGTTTCGTGAGGTTTAGATTAAGGGTTGAATTGTTATGAATTTTACTAGTTAGTAACCTCAATTCTGGAAACAGCCGGCAGATTTGAATGAGTTGAAAGAAAATTGTGTTTTAAATAGTTATTAATTCTAGAATGACTTGAGAAAATTATGGTAACAACTTATGCAACTCTAGAAGGCCCCAATAAAATTATGGCTTAAAATGATAAATAGATTTTCTATGAAAAATCTGAGTGACCAATGTTCGGTTATAAGACAGTTTTGTTAAAGAAGAAGCTAGGTTAATCTTTTGGTGTGTAAAGTATCCAATGAATTTAATAATGAGGTGTTACCTTAGGGGGATTTATATATGGAGGATTTATTAGATTTTGTATATAGGGAGGCAAGTGGGGGCATTGTTAGAGGATTTCAATCTTGTTTTTAGCTTAAGGGTCAAGCTCCAAAATGATGAGTGGAAAATCCAAACCCTAACTTTCATTTTGAAATAATTGTTTGTTATAAATTTCAAATGAGTTGTTTTGGTTTACTATTTGCCATAATTTAGTGATTTACTTCATAAAAATATGATTCATTGCTAATGTTATTGGTTTACATGAGAAGTTGAGTTTTTTTTTTTTTTGGAAAATTGTTGTTGATAATTGGGCTAAAGTGTTATTATGAAATCATTTTGAAAACTTGCATTTTAGTCTTATACTGCACATGAGAATTTAATGTTATGTTATATGTTTTCTTGATGAATAAAGGCATGAGATTTATGTAAAATGGTGAGTTAAAGGTATGCATATTGATGATAGTAGTTTTCAAACCACCATATATGGTACACATCCCTCTCATGATATTGATTTGATTCTACGCATTCGTATGATATGATTTTGCTAACCCAAGTCGATCGAAGGCCCGAGTGAGGCAGATATCGCTACACAGGATTTTGCCGGCCTATGTGGGTCAAAGGCCCGAGCGAGGCAGATATCGCTAGACAGGATTTTGCTGACCCAAGTGGGTCGAAGGCTCGAGAGAGGCAGATGTCGCTAGACATGATTTTGCCGGCCCAAGTAGGTCGAAGGCCCGAGTGAGGCAGATATCGCTAGATAGGATATGATTGTGCTGACCCGAGCGATATATGGTCTCGTTGGGTCGAAGGCTTGAGCGGTGACCGATTCCGCCTCGCAGGATGGATCTAGTGGTTCAACCCGCGCGATGTTAGATCTTGTCAGGTTGAACGGATTTACCCCTTAGGTGTTAATTGGATAAAAGTTTTCACATATGATTGAGAGATTGTTTGGATATGTATATGTATATCATGAATTTAAAATTGAAATTTATAAATGCAAATGCTATCTATCTATGAAATGTTTTAAGAAATGAGATTTTTTAGAGAACATGAGTATTGATTTGTTACTATAAAAGTTTTCAGAAAGAAGTTTTTGCAATGAGAGATTTCAGCATTGGTTATGAAAGATGATTTATATTATAAAATGTGTTTATGAAAATGAGATTTTATAAGCATTAATGTTTTATTGTATATTGAAATATTTCATTGCATACTAACCTATTCTCCACTCACTGAACATTATAGCTCACCCCTCGTTTTTAAATGTTTTTCTTTTCCACGCACACTAGGTCAAGAAGGGAGATCGTACAGAGGAGTGAATCTCACTCAAGGTTGATCCACACGACTTCATTTCATTATATGTGTCATAGTCGTGTTTTATTTTCCACTGCAAAGTTTATGTTACTTCATTATGTATTTATTTCATGTTTTGGATTGTAAAAGATACGGAAAAAAAATCTAATACTATACGTTTCATTTTGTAAAAATTCAGTTACATTTGTTTATTTACAAATGATGTTATAATTAATTGTGAAAAACAAAAATGAGTGCTTATAATTTTTTTCAGTTAGAAGAGTATTATGATATTTTAATTCATAAACATGTTTCATAGTTTTCCCGCATGGCACGTTTCGGTCATCCGAGTTTCATGGGTGTGCCTGAAGCCTATGGGATAGGGAAGGTCAGGACGGGTCGTGTCATACAAAATTTAAAATACTCCTGAAAATCATATAATCTATCAAGTACAAATATGTATAAAGAATTTAAAATGCACAAGAAACTCGTAGTCTATACACAATATATATTGTAAAGCATCATGAATTCTGCAACAAATACAAAATTAATGTAGTATTTTCCTATTTATTCTCCTAAAACACATTGGCTTAAGAATTGTAATTTACAAAATATCATAATCTTATAGTGTCTATAGAATTATGACTAGTACCTATCCCCTCCACTGCTCTCTCCAAAATGGCTTAATGGATAATAGCGTAGTATTTCCACGGAGGTTTCTCCTGATATTTTTCTTCAGAATATCACTACAAAGTGACTCAACAAACTGCTGCTTATTTCTATTCCTGCACACAACATCAGTGTAGATAAATTTAGCATGATTATAAAATATCACACCATAAAACAGACGATCTATGTTATTTATGGATGCTCTACTATATTTGAACATTGAGGGAGTCTCATGGAACTATAAATTTAGATCGGAAGCATTAAGTGATGGACTTTTCTATCAATGAAACTTTGAATCCTTCTGACGAGAGAGCCTCTACTGTCCAAGGGACTTTAGCTTATGTTGATGTAGCTTTATTGACTCCTTTTTCATAGGACACTACAACAGTTATGAGGCTTCTTGCCTTTAACTACAAACAAAGGGAAGTAACAACTGAGAAAGTCACTGTTCTTACCTAATGGATTCATAACTTAGGCAAGTACGAGTTTTGCATGAGGAGAGGCTGCCGCACTGTGCCGTTGATGATCTTTAACTTCTAAAGCAGGAGTGACTGTTTCAAACGCTTCTACAAGCAACTCCACTTTTCTTTTCCGAGCTGGAGTTAATTTAGCAACTACCTGTTGAAGGGCATAATCAAGCTTCCATTCCTCGGCATTTTTTCTGTCTTCTGTGTTTTGATGCCTTAGATGAACTTTTTCTGCTTCAGAGGCGGGGTCCAGGGGCAGATATCGTGGCTCTTGGGAGTTGAACTTCCTCACCTTTTCCAATGCCTTGATGAATTTCTGAAGAAGGATCAGTTTTTTCAGATTGCTCCAGCTCTTCTGCATTTGTGGCTTAGATTTATTTCCCAACTTTGGTATTGTTTCTGGTTCTTCTGGGGCATTGGTGTTATTAGAGTTGAGCCATGGTTCTCTTTGATCCACTGTCTTAAGATGGTCTGACTTTCTGTTCTTGGATTCTCTATAGGTATCTTCTGCAGTATCATTGGTAGTCAAGATGAAAAGTTCCCCATCTTCACCATGTTTCTTTTGGGCCTCCATTTCTGGATTCACATTGCCAGTAATTGATTGATCATCAGGTGAGTCATCTTGAATTTCTGGGAGCTGAATTTCATCGATTGCTTCTTCGATGAGCTTTATGGCTTCAATCTGATCAAGTTCAATCTTTCGGCTGCTTCTGTTTTTATTGTCAACTATTGTTTCCTGGTTCGATACAGATAAATCATCGCAAGAATCTGCATTTTTCGTTCCAAGCAATACGTTGGCTTCACCCCCTTGTTCCTTGTTGCCAACATCCTCAAGAAGTGATTGTGTTCCACCTTCAGTGTTACTTGATACCATGTGCTTATATATTAAGTACCAGAGCCTCCTGTATTTCTGTTTCTCCATCTTGGCTTCTTCTGATATATTAGTGGTGTTATTTGACTCTGGTTCTTCTAGTTCAGAAGACTCTTGGAGGACTTCATATTTCTGATCAGCTTCTTCTCCGCCGGCTGTTGCTGGTGCCTCCAACAGTTCACAAAATGAAGCTGAAGTGGTCACACTGTTAACTGCAGTTGTTTCTGCATAATTTTCTGGGCTTGAGCTTTTGGGTGGACATGCTTGTTCATCAGCTGCCTTATCAGTCTCCAACTTTTCATTGTTGAATTTAATATCTAGCTCATTGACTTGCAAATCATAGATCTCTGTGAGGATTTTTCCATTTACTAATTCCTCATGAGAGGTGCCCATGGTGTCATCTAGCTTTGAGGACGCCTTATCTGAAAATGTCGAATTTTCAAGCTTTGTTGGAGAGGAGTCAATGAAATCAGGCTGGTACTCTGTGAACATGGAATTATTATCCATTTTATCAGGGTTGCAAGCAATTGTTCTCTCTTCCTCCAAATTTGCTTGGGCAGCTTCAGAAGCCAATGTACGCATTACTGTATTACTATCACCACATGGTAAACTTCTTTCTTTCAGCTCAGAACATGTCCCTGGAATGAGCTGTTTTGCACAATCACTGACTTGGTCTGGGGTCTCTTTGAAACTCATACTCATTTCAGCATATGGTGCTTTAGAAAGCAATTTATTATTTTGCTCACTGGTGGCTTGAGCTGGAGTTGCATGAGCAGAAGCTCTTGCATTGGACCTCATATGGGTTCTAGTTTCTGGAAGCGGAGACACTGTTTCAAAAGCTTGTACAAGCAGAGCTACTTTTCTTTTTTGGGCTGGAGCTAGTTTAGAAATTACCTGTCTAAGTGCAAAATCAAGCATCCATTCTTCAGCAACTTTTCTCTCTTCCGTTGTTTGATGTCTCAGATTAACTTTTTCTGTTTCCGAATCAGGCTCCACTGGTAGACATTGTGGTTTCGGAGGATTGAAGTTCCTTACCTTTTCCAGTGCCTTGACAAATCTCTTAAGGATAATTACTTTTTTCAGATTGCTCCAGTTCTTGGAAATTTGCTGGCTAGACTTGTCCCCCGGCTGTGATGCTGCTTTCCTTTCTTCAGTATTAACAACTGTTAGCTGTGTTTCTTCTGGATCCTGCACGACACTCTCATTAGTGCCATCAAAGGAACATGAGATGTTATCCTCTCCATCTTCAACTTGCTTCCTCTCCAAGAAATCTTGTTCTGAAGTTGTTTCACTGGTTATTGATTGATCATCAGATGACTGGTCTGGAATTTCTGACAGGATTTTATCAAACGCTTCTTGTACCAGCTTAATGGCATCACTCTGCCAGAGCTCAGACTTCTGGTTGCCTGCATCACCATCTCTCATTTCCATGTCTTGATCTGTTCCAGAAGGACTCTGGTGAGAAACGGGATCATTATTATGAGACAATGTGTGGTCTTCTTCATCTTGTTCTTCTTTATCCTTGCCATCGAGAGGTAGCTGGGTCTCAACTTCTGTAGCAATACCTGATACCATATGCTGATAAATCATACCCCAAAATCCTGTAAAGTTTTGCTTTTTTATCTGGGTTTTGTGGCATCCATCAGTTGTAAAATTTGGTAAAGGGTCACCAGATTGTGAAAACCCTTCATGGAAACGATTATCTGGTTCGAAATCTTCATCGATTTCCCTGGTTGTAGTGCTGACATCAACAACTTTTTTTGATCCAGAGTAACCTTTGAACATTTCCAAGTTCAAACTTGCAACTGTTTCTCCATTGACTTCCTGGTTAACTGCTGCGTCCACTGGACCTCCCTCATTGCTGGTGCTCACAATATCATCAAGCTTCAAGGACAGATTATCACTTTGAATGGAATCCTTGACCTCCCGTAAACAGGAATCTATGGTTTCACGATGATCAAGTGTGTGAATGAGCTTATTATCTCCTCTGTGAATGTCTGATGCAACAATTTTCTCCTCCGTTCTCTTACTATCACTGGCTTCAGGAATCCGTTTAACAGGTTCTATTGCTTTGTTACAGTATTCATCCTCATTTGTTTCCTGAAATGTCGATAATGAACCAGCCTGAATGCTTGGTTTGTCCTCTAGAGAGTTACTGGTCATGTGTTGTTCCAATCTTGATTGGAGACATGATGTTTTACCAAACAATATGTCAGTGAGATTTTCAGAAACATCTATATGTTTATCTTCTATAAAATGAGCGCCTTCTCCTTTCAACTCGACCCTGAATGCCTCGTCAGTAACTGAGGAGTTTTCCCTTCTGTCTTTGGCGGCTTGTTGCTGTACAGATACTCCATTAGAGACCAGTTGACTTGTCTTAGTTCCTTTCCTCCTGTTACTAGAATGTTTTGCCTTTGGAACAGGGTGACTATCTGGTTTCATGCTCTTCTGTGCCTTCAACAAACGCCTGCGCATTGATACAAAGCGCTTCAGTGGAGGTAAATTGCCATGTCGATGGCCATGAAGAGAACAATATGAATATGGACAAACTTTCACAGCTGAAATTCCTCCAGATTCATTTCCTCCTGTTTGTTGCTCAATACGGGGAGAAAACTTGGAGTCTTTGAGAGTAGAAGAACATGTAGCTCTGACAATGCTCGAGTCTGAAAGTTGTGAGCGTTTCTTGGAGGGTCTCTTCGGTTTCAGACTCACCGTTTTTGTTAAGATCCTCTGAGGTCTCAGAGTTGTTGTTCTTTTGAAAACTCTCGTTGAGGAATCTGATTTTGGCTTTCCGATTTTTGAATTTCTTCCATTCTGATCATCGCCAAAAAAACTAGATTCAGCATTTTCCTCCCTTACAGATGCTCTTGAGCTTCCAAAACTTGCAATCTTGATTGACCTTGTCTTGTTCAATTTTTTCTTCTGGTCAGTTCCTCCAGACGATTTTCTCATCCTGAATTTTGTACTAGACACTCTGGTTAGACTCTTCACCGGCTTGAAACTAGAGCGTCTTGATAACATTCTTGATGGTTTCTGCTAAATGGATGCAGTATACAGTTTCAGTTCACCAGAATTCTAATAAAGCAAACAGAAATTTAGCATGAGAGAACTTGCCTGAAAATGCCCATTCTTTGCATCGGAACAGCTCGTTGGTTTCTTGTAATTTGGTGATGCATCTGAGATGACAACTGGAGTTGACTGTTGTGAAGTTGGTGCATAAGCAGCTAACAAGCTTGGAGATTTCAATGGTCTCAAACATGATCTTAAACTTGGCAATCTGATTGATCTCAACTTCATTTTATCATTTGCCCCTTTTCCTCTGCTTTTGCTATTCTCATCCTCAGAAGATGCATCACTTATAGATAGCATCTCAGAATCTGCACAAACTTGAGAATCTGTTTCCACTCCAACCTTGTATGAATCCATTTTTAACTCTTGTTTTTTGTGTTTCAAAGTTTGAGATAGAGGAGAATTGTTTGTTCTGGAAAAGTTATTCTCGTTTCCTGAGAAGAAAGTTCATGCATAGAAAAATTCAAAGTAATTTGTATTTTATTGTAAGTTTGATTATGAAATTTGACGTGTCAGATTAGAATATGGTTGGTAAGATGCCTTGACCTGCATACTAAACAGAGAGAATTGACTTGTTCTTTTTGAATGAGACTCTCACTTTATTCTGGCATTTACCATTATTGAATTGATGGTGTGGACATGTCTGCATGTGATTGTGGCCTGTAAAGGACTAAAGCTTCATCATATAAATAAGATATCTTTGCATAAACACATCACATGGTTGGCGTGGACCATCAAGATAATTGCTCCATGCGTAATTGACGGTGATGGTACACCCTTTTTTTCTTTTAACAATGAGGGACCCCAAAGTCCAAACTTTTCTCCATCAATCATGTGATGGGCGATTTTCTTTCTTTTAATTTTTTTTTTTTTTTTTTTTTAAGAAATTCAATGAACAAACTTTTTATGAAAATCACATATTATTGAAGCTCCGATGTTAGCCGGAGGATCACAATTTCTTTTAGAGCGGTTATTTAATATATTTTATAATTATAAGTTTATCCTCCAATGAAATTACTAAATTTATTCTTTTATATAAACACTTTTAAAATCCCATTCATTTGTACATAAACCCTAATTTTTTTTATATTTCTCATTCAAATTCTATTTTGATAGATTTGAAACAATTTTTAGAACTAAAAGGAGTTCTTTTAAGGAAGAACTAAGTTTCGCTAAGAGACATATTTAGTTTTGAATAATATACAATTTTAAGTTTGTGATTGTAATCTTAAGATTTATTCATTAATAAAAAAAAAAAAAAACACTCATCTTCTAAACATATATTTATAATAGACATTTTCATAGCCAACAAGTGTTTAATCTAATGTGGGTAAATAATTTGTGAAGAAATTTTATTTTTTTAGTTTTAAGTTATTTTTAATTGCCAATTTTGAATAACTAATTGCTTTTTTAAAAAAAAAAGAAAAAAAAAATATGGGCAAATTGCATTAGTGAAGATCATGATTTAGGTTTTTTTTTTTTTTTTTTTTTTTTTTTTTTTTTTTTTTTTTTTTTTTTAAATCAAATTAGGGATTTATGGTATTTGTGGTGCTATAAGCATAGAAAGTTTTTTAAAACTTTTAAAGGTGTGTTTAGATCAGGGTAATATCAGATAATGGAGATAATCTTTGTTTATTTTGCAAGATTTCGTTGTTTGGTTTGCAAATAATAAAATATTATGGGCATCTTTTATTGTAAATAATGTTTACTGCTAATAATATAAGGGGGTAATTAGATACCCTCTCCAGGAGCTGTTATTAAAAGATTACCGGGTAATCTGATTTTTATACATATTTTACCCTTAATTAAATATCATTTCGGACACAACTGTCCTCAAATGTCTACCAAATAATAATTACCTTGCCCCCCTATATTTGAGAAATTAGCTAAAACACCCCAACCACAAAAAAGTTTAAAAGTTAACAAAATACCCCTAGCCACCCAAGACCATCGCCAACCACCACCACCAACAACCACCGGTGGTAGTCACCATAATGGCGCACGACCGGTGGGATCTAGCCAGTTGTGCGCCACTAAGGCCGTTTCTATGGCCGTGAAAAGCCCATGGATTTGTGATCCATGGCCGAAAATGGCTTTGCCGGCATATGGTTGTCCATATACAACCAGTTGTGCGCCATTTCGTTGACTACCCGTGATGATCGGCGACAGTGGCTAGCTATTGGCAATGGCCTGGGGTGGGTGGGGTTTATTTTGCTACAAAATAAAGTTTTATATGGTTGGGGTGTTTTAGCAAAATTTCAAATGTAGGGTGTTAAAAGAAATAATTCAAAAAATAATATTATATTAATATTTAAAAAGGAGGGCAATTTAGTAATCTATATAACATACACACCCATTTATTCTTCCAACCAAACATATTACTCACTAATTTTTTCAAATCAACCAAACACATTTCCTAAACATTCATAATAATCTTCAAAGTGATCTATCTATCTATTAATATAATATCCCCTATAATAAAATATTATAAGATCCAAACGCCCCCTAAATAGGATGTAATAAGAAGTAGAGTTCTTCTAATGAATAATACTTACCCGTGCCAACTAGGGATGTAGCTAGGATTGGATTATAGGGGGTCCAATTACAAATGACAATATGATTGTCAATAAAATTTTAACATATTAGATCAAGTAATTTTTATTGATAATATTTTTTGTAAATAATATATTTATAATTGTAATTAATGAGTATAAAATTTGGTCAAAATAAACACTTTTATACAGCTAACACAAAAATATAGTATTTCCAAATTAAACCAAAATATATATCTTATAAATAAATATTTTATTGTTTCATCCAACTTCTATTATGAAATTGTAGCCCTTATGGTGATCTCACCGTTATATTTGGATCAACTGAATAATATTTTATCAAAATATATTTTTAAATTATTAATAATTTGATATATCAATGATGGATGCTTACCTTACATCATGACATTCAGTATTTACTTTTTTAGTTTTTAGTAAAAAATTTGAGAAATAAAACAGTTGGTAATATTTAGATTTGACTAGAAAAGATTATCAATATTGGTAATTCTAGAAAGCAAATAAAACTTTTTATATTTTGTTTTTTGTGGATATATTAAGACAACTTGGAATAAATTTTGCAAAATTTAGAAAGAAAAATTTGATATATTTTGTAAAATTTAAAAGTTTATATTGATATTTTAAGTGTACTTATAAACAATTTTCCATATCATCAAATGTGCCTAACTGCCAAGTGGTCACTCTTGAGTCTTGACCTCCCCTGGCTTCGTCGATGGTGCCAACTATATTCCAAATTTTACATTCTAAATGATTTGTAACCGTATCATCGAATGTGTAAATCATTTTATTTACATGTCAATGCCACATTTAATAAAACATCATTATTCTTTAATTTATAGCATGTTTGGGATTGCTTTAGATCAATTCTTGAGCTACAACATAAAAAGTGCTGGGTTAACGACTTTTGAAGCTTATTATCGTATAATCAAATTTATAAAAGGATTTTAAAAGCAACCTTGTGTAGCTTTTAAAAAGCAGATCATTTCTAAAATTGATTTTAGTTATCGGAATGACAAAAATGCCCATATGAGATACTTTAAATTACAAAATAATATTACGTTGAAAAATAATGCCCCTGTGGTCAACTGCCAACACTTACAGTAGTCGTTACTCAACAACTAGTTTTGCAAGGCTTGTCTATATGAACTTTGTTTCCCACTTCTTTAGACAATGTTTGTGACCTGAAACTGTAAAAATCAATTCAAAAGCCCTCCAAATCAATTTGTGAAAATTTTAAAATAATACTACACCAACAATCCTCTCGCATAAACTTTCACTCACAACCCTGACGTGATAGCTCGCAATTGGTCAGTTTGCAATTAATTAGTGGGACCTATGCAAAACCCATGTGGGACCCATTGTAAGCTGACTAATTACAAACTGTTATATCAAGTTGTGAGAGCAAGTTTGTGAGAGAGAGTTGTTGGTATATTGTTATTTAAATTTTATTTCTTTCATACCCTTGCTACAAATAAAACTTTTGAAAAAGCCATCTCCATTTCAATATAGGGATTTTATTTGCATCCTAAACCTAGACCTGGTCAAAGACCGGTCCCAAGCAGGCCCAGGCCTGGGCCCGTTTGGGACCGGTCTCAAACCCATGAGCAATTTTAGGACCCAGATCGGTCCTATGGGCTTGCAAAATTTGTTTCCCCCCTTATCCTTTTTTATATTTTAGGGGCGAAATGAAATTATGTAGGAGGTTTTAATAATTTTCAGGGGTAGATTAGTAAGTTTTTAAAAGTTTAATTAATTTTAAAAAATAAAAAAAATTAATAGTTAATTTTAACATAAATGTAATATTCACACATTCACGCTTCACAAATAAACAATTAAATAAATTTTTTTATTAAATTATTCATCTTCATTGTCAACAATATTTAAATCATTAAAATCTGTATTCCTAAAGAGTTCGAGTAGTTCAGGATCTTCAGGGTGCTATTGTAGTCTTCTTTCTGTATGAGTCCAATCTCGTAAACACATTATTACTTTAATCATCTCATTAGTTAAAGAGCATCTTCTGTCTTCAACAATCCGACCACTCGTTGAAAATGCTGACTCAGATACAATTGTAGAAACAGGCACAGATGAAATGTCACGTGCCATTTAGGCTACAATGGGGAATTGACTTTCATGTTGGTTCCACCATTGAAGAATATTCATCTCACGTTTCTCCTTCATCGTCATGTAGGACAGGTCCACTTGTAGGTAGCGATTCAGCTCATTTGGTTCATGTATGTACGAGTTGGAGCTGCTACTTCCGCTATGTTCCATATACGTCCACTTGGTCGATTCTTGACAAAGGTCTGAATCAGGGTCCTAATCGTCTCTCTTGAACGTTCCACTTCCACTTCCATTGTACCTATTCTGATATAAAGAAAAAAGGTTTTCCAATTTTTGCTTAAAGTCAGTCAAATAAGACGTATAATCATATCCTAAATACTAGCCTTACTCAGTAATTATACAGTTAACTACATGTAATTTAAACCTAGGATCTACAACAAGGCCTAATCCATATAAGAATGGAATATATAACCAATATTTCTTGTATTTTTCTTCCATCTTTGAAACAATTGCCATTAAAACATCATTATATCTATATTTAGCAAAAGTTTTAGCAATTTGAAGTAAAATATCTAACACTAAATTAGTAGTCGGATAATAAATACCACTTAATGTATTAGTAGAATCATAAAAAAAATTTAAGAAATGAACAAAAAAGTACCGCCCAATCATCATAGCTGACAACTTCCTCTAGATAATTCTTCCGATTGACAAAATCTGTAA